GGAAGTTTGGGACTCTCGTGTGGAGCGGGGGGTATTAAGACTAAAAGACTTGAAACAGTGTCCGCACATGTGGCTGGATTGTGAACACTATCTGATGAAGCGGGAAAACGATCAGAATAAAACTTTGCAGGACCCGCCACAAAAATGAAACAATCCCTTATTTTAAAAGCCTATGATGTGATGCCAAGATGGGATGAAGAAGGAGAATTAAACAAATGAAAAAATGTCTGGAGGCATCTCACATTTAATCAGAGAATCCTCCAAAAGAACATGTTTTGTTCTTTGTCTTTCCTTGAACAGTATTTATTTACTTGTGACAGCATAGGCCAACTTCTTGATCCAAAGTCCTGATTAAATTAGTGCTTGAGTGACTGTACATCAAAGTGTAAAAGGATCCTTGTTCATCTGAAAGCCTGAGAGGAAGGGATCAAGCCTTAAGTCCTGGTATAAGCCATGGTCACCTACTAAATAACCAGGCTGCCAGTCAAGACACTTGAATTTTTGAAGAAACTGGCGTTTTAACATTTTGCGTGCTTGCTTTTTTACAATACACTGGGGTATAATGGCATAGTCCCTGTACACTCACAAGTCCCTTTGTTCTCCAATCTTCCACTGTCATCTCTGAGTAAGCCAGCCAGATAACTGAATTTTCTTTATGGTTGGACCAGTGAAAGACTTCAATGAGTTAAGTGCATGAGTAGGATTTTTTTGTAAGCAAATGTGTACTTCTCTTTTCTCTGCTCTTTCTCCAAATCTGTGCCACACAATGCTTATGAAAACCATTCTTGTTCCTAAGGCGTAATAATTTAACAGTAAGCCACTTTATTCCAACAATCAGTGCAGGTCCACCGCCATATCACAGACTGTTTGAACTTGTTTTTAAGTATTATTTAGTTAATAGTTTAATTTAACAGGGACAATGCACATTAATTAACATGTCTAAATGCACTAGCATTTGCTATACAGCTAATTTCTGTAGCCCTTACGCAACAAATATAATGCCATTAATATATAAAAGACAGCATTTACATAATATTAATTAAGGTTATTTAAACATTAGAAATGTTAAAAAGCTACATAAAGGCAGATTGCTGGGTGAAATGTATTCTGCAAAAGCCCAAAGTCATAGACTCAGCTCCTTGTAAGAACACATGTTTTCAACGTGTTTCTTAAGAAAGAATACCTGTAATTGAACAATGCTGGATGGGTTATTTCAAAGCCATACAAGCTGTGATAATTGAAGGCTCTTTGAGTATACGGATGAAGTAAAAAAAAAAAAGTAAAATAAGGAAATGTACTTTCTCTGTACAATTCATGTTCAGTCTTGATTGGTTGACTTACACATGCACATATACATTTTGTAATATTTGGTAAGTGTTTGCTCAGTGACTAAAAGCTAGAAGTCATTTGGACCCAGAGGAGCTTGTACTGCTATAACCCATCACAGCAGTAACACTGTGAACAAATAGCCCCCCAGTCTGAGCTCCAGCCGGTCCCCTGTGAGCTGGACAGAGGTCAGTGCTATTGCAGGTGCCATCTTTCAGAGGAAGTGGTGAGCACAGCAGCATTCTGGGAGGATATTAAAAATTGTGGGGGCTCTCTCTGCACAGAGAAGCAGAAGAAAAAGGAGATGTTAATTCAGGTGTTTTGGCTCAAGCCCAGAGATTTATTTTATTACATTTGTTTATTTAGTTTGTGCCTCGTGCCTGGTGACAACAGTTGGAGGGGAAACGTGATCCGTGCTTCGTGTATGTTCAGGTTTGTACTGTATGACATGGAGGTGTGACTTTAAAGTGTGTCATCGGAGCATGTTTTTGTAGCATAAGCCGGCACGTGTGGCCTCATAAGGACTTGATTGGTTTCAGTCTTTTCTCTTGCGGAGATTTCCTGGTCAAAATTGAAACGTGTTTTTACTCTTTTTGAAGTTTATTGATAGAACGTGCTGTCTGCTCCTGGTTACACTGAGTGAGTTTTTGCTGTATTAAGTTGTCATTAAAGGATTTTCGGTTTCTGGCGTTAGTTGGATTTTATTTTAAATGTACATATGTGCTTTCACAATTTTTCTGGGTAGTGCCCAATTTAGTCTTGATCTAGTCCTGGTTTGGTAGACCTGAATTCAATTAAAATGTAATTATTTCCAGATTTAGTCTTAGTTTACTCCCAATTTTAATGTGGTGTGCAAGTGAAAATTAACCCTAAAATAAAAATTCTCTGATACTGATACTGATATTGGTATCTATGCCTTCAAAGCTTAAAGCAAGAGTGAAATGAGCCTGGTTAAAATGATCCCAGAATGGGACTGACAATCAAGGAGGTGGTTCTTATGTTATGCCAGGAGTTTATTTGTGTTTTCCTGTTGTTTCTACAATACAATATTGAGAAAACTTGAAGAATTAAAACAGCTGCATAAAGTGAAGTTTGACATCCTAATTTGAGATGTGAATTGACAGGACCTGATCCCACTCAAACCTGAGGAAATGCATTCGCAGACCTCCAGCAGACACTCGAGAACCCATCCATTTTTGAGTTGCTGTTTTATTCCACATTACTTTATACCCCACAGAAAGACCAGTTACGTAACACAAAATCCCACACTGCAATTATCCCACCGACTTTCAGATATTACTTTTGCCCAAATCTATTTTAAATTTGTGTCATATTTTCCTCCTGCCGCACTTGGAAAAGCCTCGTTTCCATGGGCCTCCCCGACAGAAAATCCATTTCCACTATCCTTTTATTGGCAGCTCTGGTTTGGGAGAGCCAAGTGAGCGAATAGTTAGGACTGTAACATGCTGCAAATGTAGCTCCAGCATGTGATGGAACAAACTATTTTCGACCATCCTGGCATATACCTGACACTTTCCTATCCCATTTTAGGACATGAGGTCTACCATAACTTTCTATAACTGTCCCAAACACACAGTCTATTCGGGACATTGTCACACTCAGCCTACGTCTAGTGCGATGTTTATTGGCCTGTTAGAGAGCTGTTAAACACAATTCAGTGGAATAGCAAACATGACCCTGCTCAACCTCAACTGAACTTTTACACCTCAAATTGTGACATAAAACACACGCTTGCTCCAGCTCGACTTGCTGCCTTGTGCACTTTCCCTTTTTTGTTTTGGTTAAGTATTTTTTGCCTTTGCTTTGCTGAGGTCACCACCCTCTCCATAAGTTCCCCGCCCTGGATTAGTGCGTGGTCACAAATGAGATGTGAACCTGGATAAAGCACCATAAAAATTCTGCCATATGACAAAGTAAATTAAACAAATTAATGGTCACTATACGCACAGGCCAAGCGGTTCAGTTCTATCTTATTGTAGGCCAATGTGTATTTTACTGACTGGCATTTGGACCAGTAGACAAGGGAACAGGGGGTACAGTTATGACGGGATAAAGACCTGGTCGTGGGGAAGACATGCTGTCAGTGGTTTTGGCTCAGTCAAACCAATGATGTTTTGGGATTTTCTGACCTCAGGCTGTTTCTCTGTTTGGACCTGTCATGACAATTTAGTGCCAGTGCCTGCTAGCTCTCCTTTCTTTATGGAGTTTTTGTGTGTGAGAGCCGGGTGACCACAGACACCTGACATTCGCCACAGCCAAAAGAGCAAGGTGGAAGATCTGACCCACAGTTTACACCCTAACAACTCCTGACATAACCACACGACCGAGCAGCTTTGGCCCAAATGCTGTGTAAACGTCTTTAAATGACCAGTGCCAGTGGTTAGCTTTACCTCACATAATGCACTGTTTCCAATGTGGTGTGTCTTCTCACTAAAAAACATGAACATTCACACAGTGGTAATGGCAATAAAATAATTTCAATATAATATGTCTATATTAGGTCGCCCTGCAGATTATATTTGTCCATCTACTATTGGTCTACTGTTCATATAAAGTAATTTAAAGTGTAATTGGGTGTGTGTCATAGATAACAAATCAGTGGTTTGTGTTGGCTTTCCCCACAAGGGAGTCCCATAAGACAAACTAAAACGGGTTTAGTATCACCCAGTTTAATTTGGAGGTTATTTATATTTTTCCATTACATACACTGGTGTTTGACACAAGTTTGTGCTGTTGTGTAAACATTAAACTCTTGTGCCGAGGCAATGCCAGTGAGATAATGTGTGTTGTCATCTGTGAAATGTTTTCTAATTATGACAATTTGGTCATGTTGTGATCAGTCACAGCTACCATGCATTTAGCGGAATTTGTAGTTTTTGTTGCTATGGCAAATGACCACAAAAGCATTCAAATGTCATAAGCAAACACCATTAAGGTTATTAGTATGTTTTACTGTAATTGCCCACCACAGCAATTATAGGGCTTGGTGCCAGTTTTTGTCTGCCCTGCCACAGATTTAGAAACATTCACTCGCAAAGCTTTTCAAAACAACCAAGTGAACAGTCACAATTTCCAAAATGTTACCAAAGAAATAGCATTATTGCATAGGTATAACTGAAAACATTACTATAGTGAACCATTTCACAGATGTTTTTCAGTAACTTTTGTTAATTTTTTTCAGCAAAGGAAAATGTACATAGTAGTTAGTATAGCATATTATATTTTACACACAAAACCTACCTAAATGCTTTTACTTGCTGACAGTGGTACACAATGAAAGATCTGCATAGTTATTAGGACTAATTCTCCAGACAGTGCGATTATTTATATCAGATTTCCCAGCCATCCATCAAACAGTTGTTGTGATAGTTCACTCCCACAATTCACTCACCACAAGTGTAATCCCCTGGAAACCACAAAGTATGTACCTAATTTCTGCAAATCCATTTTGTGTCAATCACTGGCTTAGTTTAATGTAAAATGTGGACGTGTGAATGAGGGTATCTCTCTGCACACATGCAAAAAATCTACTTTGTCTCCAGAATCTACAGCTTAAATAACTTACTTCTCTTTACTTTACGTACTTCTCTTTAGGGCAATGCAACATTCTTTTATGCTAAAAGAAATTTGTCATACCTTTTTCTTCCCTATAGTTGGAGCTTCAGGCCTGCTGTGTGTTTCTGCCCAATGACAGTTTGCCCTCTCCCAGCACCATCATCTGTGGGGACATCCCTGGGACTGTCCGGAGCTGGTACCATAACCAGGCCTCTATGCCAGGGACTCTGGTAGTCTGTCTGCCCCAGATTAGCATCATCAGTGCTGGGCACAGGTACATGGAACCAATGCAGGAGCTGCCCTTTGTGGTGTCCAGGCCCATATTAGAGGAAGGTAGGTGCATTGCTGTTAGTAATTTTTGTGTGTTTTAGTGGTCACTTTAAATACAGGGGAGATAAAGCTAAGATAACTCATATACCTTGACAGGTAATCATAATGCTGAATGCTTAACATAGCTAGTCTCAAGTATAGAAAATAAAAAATGAGATCAAGCCAGTTCTTAAAATAGCCTTGTGAACTACATAATTTATGTGGTATTATAAACATATCAAATTCATTAATAACTGAAATGAATGTTTTGAAAATAGTAATAGGCTACATTATGTGAATTCATCATCATTATGGACTTTTCAACATTGAGCAAACCTTTGACCCACTACCACTCATTTACCATGACAAAAGACAAACAAACTTAAGTGGAGTGACTTTGAGAGATGTATATCTTGCACATATGGTGAGCACACCTGGGAGAGTTGACATTAGCAACATAAGACGCTCAGGCACTGTTTTCTCTTCAGAAGAAAAGAGGGGGCACCCTGCTTTTTTTCTCCAATGACATCAGAACTGGGCATACAAGATTTCAGAAATGGGAAAGAAAGAAAAATGACAGCAAAAACAGTTACATCAGCGGCCTTGTCAATGTTGCAGCTAAAATTAACAACCTGTGCTTTTAGTAATTCATTCCTGCCTTTTCAAAATGTCTTCATCTCTCTTGTTATTGCCTTGGATCAAAGCCGCCTGCCCACGGCATAAGGGAAATCTATTCTTCATGACCTTGTGCATCTGAAAGTTTCCTCTCTCTTCTCACACACACACACAAAAAAACTATGTGACAACTTCTCAGAGTGTGGCATCATTTACTATAGATCTACTTAAATTTCGAGTATATGATTGCACTGCATTTGTTGGATTTGCATGTATGTGCATTTGTATTTGCCTGACCAGCCTATCCCTCCTGGATTTGAACAGAATGTAGACTGGAACTGGACAATACAGAATAAAAATCAATTCAGCCACAGCTGCTAATTTATGTCACGTGTCTTGTCAAATGCTGAAAACTTCTCCGCTCCAAAATTTTCATAACAATATAACTTCTTATACCTGATATATATATAATAGTTTGTTTTTGACGTGAACAGACCATGCGTCTCTGATTGGTAAATCCGCCTGTCAGTCATGCCTCTGAAGTCAGGAAGACAGGATACGGATACACTAGATCCGCTTGTCTTAGTAAATTTTTGTCAAAGCATGTGGTTCTGGCTGGTCAGGTAACCTTTGTATTGTGTTCTGTATGTCTTTCTCAGGTGATGCTTTTCCTTGGACAATTAGCCTGAGTCAGTTCAGTGTCTATACCCTCCTTGGACAGCAGCAGAGCCTGAGTCTACTGGAGCCCATGGGCTGCACCTCTACACTGGCTGTGACCTCCCACAAACTGCAGGGTTCAGAGGGCAGGCATTCCTTTGTGGTGTGTCTCCATGTTGACCTACAGCCGGTGCATGTCAAATTCTCCAATCCACAGGTCAGTCACATTGGCGCACTGCTATACCCACACCAGTAAAATCTTTTTTTAAATGAACCATATTATACAAAAAATATGAGCTGCTACAAATCATGTGTACAATGAAACACTTTAATGCTTTAAAGCTTTAATGTCACAATATTTTCTGATCTATGTTATAATGTTGTTTCCTCATCAAAACCATACCTAGAGTTGTATTTTCTTTATGTTTAGCACACAAACCTTTAGGGCTGAGTATCAAGGAGTTGCCGATACGATACATACCTCGATACACAGGCCACGATACAATACATATCTCGATACAGTGCACTTTCGATTCGATATGATATATTTCAAATGGATTTGATACGGTTCAATAAAAAATAAAGGCTAAATCGTGGCTGTGATACTAAAAGGCTTTGTTAAATCACTTCTTGTGCAAAGTTCATCTAAAACACAAACATTTTAATCCTCAAAACATTAAAAATGTCAAATGTGTCGCATAAACGAGTTTCCTTTCACTCCACAAGCAACAAAACTGTAGCACTGTAACAAAAAAATTTAGTGAAACACACCTAAAAATACTCTTGGTGAAATATCGATAGAGTAGCCCACGGTATCGATACTGTATCATTGCATTAAACGATACGATATATCGATATTCCGATATTTTTGCACACCTCTACAAACTCTGCATATTTAGGCGAGGTTCTTCTCTGAAACTGAAAATGCTCTGAACTTAGTCCATTCACCTTCACTAGAATCATGTGGATAATTTAAGACCTGTAATTGCTCTCTACTGAACAAAACTGCTATATGATATCACAAGGTGAAACAGAGCATTTTGAGCTTGTAGACAGACTTGTAGACAGCCTAATAATAAAGGATTACTCAAACAAAACTCCAGGTATGTTTTTGAGGAGGTAACAACATTCTAACACGGCATAAAGCTCACAAGAGTAAATGTTGCATTTTTAACATAATAAAGAGTGGAATATATTCATTATTAAACTGTCTGCAGCTCAAATGTTAACATACTCCCAAAAAAATAAGTTAACTGCTAGTGCATAATAAAGGTCCACATATGATAAATATTGAACAAAAAATATTTTTTCATATTAATCATGTTTAATAATAACATAACATAGTAATTATTATTATTATGGCAGGACAAACTATGCCTTCCTGTGCCTTCATTTATTAAATGTTTGTGCTAGAATTGAATACAGTTCAATATAGTATAGAGAGAATCTTATTTGGCATCTAGACCTTTGCCAGTTTCTACAGTGGAGCAGTTAGCTGGAAACATGTTTCACTGTCAATGCCTTTTAATGAGGATGTTGCTGGGAGCATGTAAGGGAAGAAAGTCAAGAACTAGGCAATGGAAAATTACACTTCTGTCTTTGTAGATTTGACATAAACAAAAGCCTGGCTAGAACAAGTGTGTCCACATGGTCTTCAAATGCACAAAGTAGTTCATCATGCTCACTGTCTTGATTGTCAAGAAAATCAATCTGTAAACATGAGAGTGTTGCTGTGTTTGTTTTGGTCAGATCACAGTGAAGGAGAACAGGGAAACGTGAAGCCCATTGTTATTGCACACTGTTATTTTGTTTTGGCGACTGGATAACAAATACAGATGGACTGGATAGCAAAGATTTTAGCTGTCCAAATTCTGCTTTAGTTTTCATTATGCTGTGGTGACTCTAGTGACATATACATGTACCATAACACAAGCTCTGATTTTCACAATTGAATTAGTTTTATTAAATTTGTTTCTTTGTAAACACTTGAACTGAACAATCTTTGAATCGTCTCTCAGACCGCATTGATGATTGATGGCAGGAACACTCTGCAAAAGAAATAAATTACAGAATTCCTTTTATTTGTGACTATTTTCCCCACAGATGTTCTTTTGTTCTTTTTTTTAATAGCATGTGTATGAATTGCAAAACTATTAGGGCATCAAGGCATTATTGTTTAATTAATCAAGAATACAGTACAGTCTGTGATGTTTTCTTCTAATTCCATTTTTTCCCACCATGTGCAAATTATAACCTTTAAAGTGCTATATGAGCACCATGTGGAGAAAATGATTATTTAGTCATCTTTTTAATTATAGTCTACATTTGTATGTGTACTGGGATGTCAGACTCCTGTACAAAGTTTACCACCAACATAGTTACAGATTTGGTCATGCTAAAATGAAAGGGTGGAGCCTAAGTAATGGAAACATACATCATAGTGTAGTATTTCATCTTGGCATAACCAGCAATGCAAATGCTCTGTGCAATACAGTATATGGTACATACTGTAATAAATTAGATGGAACATTTGCTCATTGATGCGGACGATGGCAGTGGCACAGAGACATAAATACATGCAACATTCATAATTCATAGACAAAAGTAACTTTTGTACTATATAGAAGTAAGGAATCATTAGATTTATATAGCACCTTTCAAGATACCCAAAGCTTTTCACAGAGCATTATTCATTTACTCCAAACTCAGTGGTGGTAGCCTCAGTGGCAAGGCTGCCAATCTAGGCCATCGTCTGCTCCGACCACCACTAACACTCATGCACATTCCACGTTCATACTAGGCGATGTAGGTGAAGTGCCTTGCCTAAGGACACAATAACACCTGATTTTCCGAGTGGTCTCCCATCCAAGTACTAACCATGCCTAGCCTAGTAGATTTCATTTTACGAACAAACCGGCTGGTAAAATAGGTAGTCAGTGTGTTTTGTATATAAGTTTGGTTAGAAATTATTCATTTTTATATTATTTAAATTTAACTTGTAGCACAAACCACATCTACCCAGTTTACATCCATTTGTATTTGTCCACCTGTACTCACTATGCTCACACAGCAGTGTTTAGCATAGCCTCCTTCAGCATAGACTGTAGTGAGATAAAGACACAAACACAGGCCATCTGCACTCCCTAGCCTTTCATGTGTGTTTTCATGAATGACAGTGAGGCCTCTGTTCACTCTCCAGTCCTCACTACTGCAGCCTCAGCTCCTCTTGATCTCCAGATGACAGCTCTTTGGAGGACCTCAAATCACAAATGTTCAGATCCATTTATCTCTTTATAAAATGGGCCGGCTGTATTATGACCTAATGTGTATGTAAAGATACAAATGTATAGTCAGATTTTTCCATCAATAAAAATACAGCTAAATTTTTGCAACCTGTCATCGTAATGTACTTTTTTACTATACAATGAGTAAAGATCTTATAATACTGCTTTATAAGGCATGCTGTGGCTGCAAACTTAGGCTTCTGGTTGGCCTCTCTTCATAACAGTTCATGCAATTGCACACATACTACCAGGGTGAGCATAAATTGTTGCTGCAGAGTCCATCTTGTTTTTAGGGCGAAACTGACCAAGGCTGCCCTCCCTTATTGACATCCCTTATGTTTTTAAAGCATGGCTTCTTATAACCATGTAAATATTATGTAAATAAGGATTAAGATTATGCCACTTCATGCCTTCTTTTAGTCAACAAATCACTGCACAGGGCATGTCTTTAACCAACATACTGCTCTACTGTACATTTACTTTATAGTACTGCAGGGACATAACTTCTTAGTATGATTACTTTATGTACCATAGTGGTATTATTTGACGAAATACATTTGATTGCTTTCTTGGCCTTCCAGTGTCAGAAGCGCTGGGCTGTGTGTCTCCAGCAAGCAGCACAGTTGAGTGGGGTATGGCGGACAGCTGTTGGCTCTGTCCCGGCACTGCTGCTGCTGGATCAACGTTAGCAGCTCTTCCTGGACATGTTTGAAATGCCCCAGCTGTAATGTATTGTGCTGCTTTTCATTTGATTTATGCTTATTTATGGAAGGCCTCCCCGTAATGTGTGCGCTAACAGCCGTGCCTGTGTGTGAGAGGGCGACTGAAAGCAAAAATGTGTTTTGAGCTGTTTTCTGCCTCTGCACCTTTCTTTGAGGGACCTTTTTGGCAGAAGAGGGCAGGGGGTGAGCACTTTGCTGGCAGGGGAATCGAACCAGTTGAAATCCAGAAATTAGCTCACTGTGAAAGAGCGTGCTTTTCTCCCTTGCTTTTGCCTCTCGAAGAATATTGAGTAAAAGCATTGCATTCCCGTGCCTTGCTCTCATGTTTTCCACTTGCCTTTTTGGTTTTGTTATTGTTGTTTGAAACTGAGACCTTCGTTCATGATAATTAGTTAAGAAGTTTGTTCTAACCATGGCGACTTGGCTTAATTGATGACAACTTAACTTTCCTCCTTTGGTGTTTCTATGGGAGTTCTGTTGTTAAGAATAACAAGTTTGTTCATTGTGGCACGTGTAGGGCCATGCAATAACTTCTGACATTTATAATACTTTTACCATCATTAAAAGAAAAATAAAAGTGGATAGTTTTCATTAGTGTCTTTGCTTTTTTCTCTTTCATCTTTTTTAAGTTTAACTAGATTTAGTGTCACATAACAGTAAAGCTGCTAACACAAATCATGTTAATGACCTGTAGAAGACAGTTTACATGGGAACTCCACAATGACAAAGTTTGAGTCAGGCATTGGCAAAATCATTTTAAATATGTCTTCCAGTGTAAATGCTTCTTGTCTGTTCTTTTTGTGATTTAATGTTTTCAAATATTGTCTCATACGGGATTAGAACTAGATTAAGGCATGATTCACTATGTTAAGATTTATTTGTAACCTTTTCAACTGTATCTCAATTTTAATCCAATTCTTTTTTCAAACCTGGGAAAAATAGTTCACAGCATACAACATGCTTCAGTTTTAGTGTACAAACTTGTCAGATGCAGTCAATGTTCCTTGACCAGCAATATTATTTTGAAAATACTGCCTGTAAAATATTGTGTATTTTTTAATATAAACTTCCATTCTGTCCTCCTCCAGGTCCAGCTATTGTATGAACTGTTTCTGTCCTGGAGCTCCACTTGGGCCCGTCTGCAGAAACGTGGCTTCCTACGTCAAACTTCCAACATCCCAGAGACGCCTGTAGTGGGCGCTCCATCCTCCCCTGTGCGCAGCAGTGCTGGAACTGCCCCACCGGACACCAGCACCTGTAGTCCCTCTGCAGACTTTGGCTCCCCCACTGAGGTTAGCATTTGAGATCCATTTAGGATTTAGTATGTACTCTTTTTTTTTTTTTGTTTATAGTTAGAGTTAGAGTTAGAGTTAGAGTTAGAATTATAGTTAGTTAGTTAGTTAGTATAGGCAGTTAGTCAAAAAATAGAGAGAAAAAGAAATCTCCCTTTAAAAAAAAAAACATTTACACTTTTAAAAGTTGAATATGTAATTTTCTGGGGACGCTTCACTTGATCAAGTGTATGGACAAATAAAGGTAAAACTGTTCTTTGGAAAATCCTCCATAGAGATAGATATGTTTTATGGCATACTGTGGAAGACTACATTCAGAGAAACATTTCCATGAAAACAAGCAGGATTCGGTTGGCTTGGTAAGATTTATTTGGAGGCTGCATGTCCTTCTGGTGCATTCTCTTTTTCCACCACCCAAACACATGTAATGCTCTAGTTGTAGTCTTTATTTTATCAATAACATTTCTCCATTGTTTTATAACCACTTAATGTTGAATCTTTTAATCCAATTAAGTCCCTGAGTCCTCTACAGGGACTTCTCATAACACAAGGGTATTTACATCACCAGCTAAATGATGTCTTCAGATATGTAAATATAGTATTTTTGCAGCAAGACCTTGCAATTTATCTAAGCAGTCTGTTTTATTTGGGAATGGTGTACAAAGCTGGAAAAATTTAATCAGCCCTCATGTTTCTTTATATTTTTTTCCTTCTCCAAAACAGATACGCAGATAGACTAAGAGCTCTGTTTCAATCTTGTGTGCCTGGCCATGATTGAGTATAAACCTGCTTCTTAATTTGTGGAAAACAATAACCTGTGTTTACATTTTTGCTCAGTTAAAATATCCAATGGAGAAGAAATATGACCTGCCGTGGTCCATGCAGTCGTGTGCAAAGCTAACAGAAAAAGCGTGTACTCTGCATTTTTTATCACATATTTTTCCTCCAGCCCCAAGGTGGTACTTAGACCTGCTCAAAGGCCCAGGGCTGCTGCCTCCTGTCAGCACAGTAGCACTCACTGCTGCTACCTGGGGCTCTGTAATGTTAAGTCCTTTAGGAGCATCTGCGTAATGTTTTTAGAAATATGAATGCATAAACAGGACAGTGTTTATGGTACTGTTTGAGTTTGTCATCCCATGGTAACCCTTGATTTAATGTTTTGTGATCACCTGGGCCTTGTCAGCAGTAACGAGTCCAAATGAATCACACCCCCACTATTATATGACCTAGGAATAGACACACAGGCATGTCCCAAATACTATCCTGAGAATACATTATAGTTTTATTAGTCAATATATTGCAGGACAAATAAACAATCCACCTTGCCTTTCAATAATGGAATAAGATATTTAGAAATAATTACCTACATAAAACTCAAAAGGCCCATCAGTATAGAATGATCCATTCTGATGTCATTTTAATAGTTTTTAATACTAGACATAAAAGTGTTAAATGAATTAGAAGTAACATGCCAAAGCTTCAGGTCCAAGATTACTTTTTCATTCAAGTGCAGCTCAGTAATGCTGTTTTAAGGTTATATGAGAATCACAGTGATAAACTATGCCACGAGTGTTGCTCAGAAACACATGTGTTTTGTATAACTGGATATGCATCTCTGCCTGCATTTGCTTCTATGTGATGGTGAGTGCTTTTCTTGCATCATTTGTGGGACTCCTGCTACAGTACATCTGAGAGGGGCCCCTGACAGCCCACTTGTCACTGTTTACCTAAGTACAAACACTGGTAGAAGTGTTTGGTCCTCAGGGAGGCTGGGTGATTGAGCAAGAATGTAGGAGCTGTTTTGATAAGTCTCAGCACCAGTGGCAGGACTCACTCCCCAAATCCCTGCCCTCACCACCCACTACACTGCCTCTTCAGGGCCCCACCTGGCTCCCTGTAAGCAGAGATGGGGGATATGTGTTGTACAGGGGCTATATTAAGTACTGGCTGGTGTACAATGTAATAATGTCACACTCTTAGATGGGAGTCAGTTGTCAATATTCCAGGATTCTATATGTGTTTTTATTTTTATCACAAATCATCACTTATACTGTGATTAAACTAGACTGAAGTGACTTACCTCAAACATAACAACTACACAGTATACAGGTGACATTTAAACATTCAACCCCTTTTAATACTGTCAACCTTTTATTGTATGAAGAAATAATGATGAGATGAAATGGCTACAAGTTACATAGTTTTGAAAGTTTAAAATGTGCACTATGTAATTTTTTTGGTAGGGTCTGCTTGTTTCTGTGGATATGTCATGGCTCTGCCTGGAATGTTCCACAGTATGACTTTAAACAGCTTTACCTTACATTTATTCAATAACAGGTGGTTTTATAGCTCAAGTATACCTAGAAATACAAGCATTCTGACTGTGAGTGGGTTTGCCACTCCTCAGATCTGACCTGTAACCTGGTCTGGTTTGGCCTCCATGAAGATAGACAAGGTTTTATACCATACTGTGAAACATTCCAGACAAGCAATAACATTTCGATGAAGAAAAACCTCCACCAGGAAAGTTACTCAATGCAAAACAAAACATAGATTTTTTTTTAATCTAGTCTCCATTGGCTTAGGTGCCGTTTTCTTTTATAACATCATCATTATCCATTATTCCTGTTCCTTATAGCCTCTCCTTCTTCCCTCCTTCTTTAACCTGTCCGCTGCTCCTGATGGTATGACCCTCCAGCCCGCTGTTGTCTTCCAGTGTTTGGGTCTTCCTGATGAGCAAAGACAAACGCTGCAGAGAAAATAAACCCAGATCCTCCGGCGTTTACAGCACAGAGGCCCAGGAATTAAACTGTATATGTTACATCTTGGCTTTAGAAGGTGTGGGAAAATAGCTCCTTCTCAAATTATGTGGATTGGTGTTTTAGGGGGCCCAATCTGGCAACTTGCAAACGTGGCAAAAGCCCCCTCGACCTGTGTGCCTCTAGCTGTTTTAAACTTTAGGCCTTTCATACAATGACATGCTTTTTCCACTGCAATATAATGTTAAAAATCCTCCTTAATAAAACAACTTCACGCATGGTAAAACTTCTCGTATTAAACAGAGTTCCAAGGAACTCCAAACTACTTTCAGTTCAGGTGTAGCAATGTAAATTAATTTTCTGGGTTTCATTAGTGCCTCCAATAATAACTTGTGGTGACCTAATTGAATATGTCATTGATCATTTTGGCAGAAATTGTTAAGAATTGTATTTAGAGTTATACCTCTTAATTGTGGTCCAAGGTTTTTTTTGTTTAATTCTTGTGTATTCTTTTCTTTTTAATATTTTTTTTATTATATAGTTGAAATTTAATGTTTTGGGCAGTAAAATTGAATCTGTACTGAAAATTTGTTATTTTAAACTGATAACATTTTACCCTGACTCTGTGGTTTATAATGCCAAATATGTGAAGGCCGAATGAGATTTGTAGTAATTGTGTGATAGCAGCATTGGTTCATATTGGGACACTGGAATAGCTGTGTCTGATTCTTCTGTGAAATCTCTTAGTCCTACTCAGCGCTTGGAGCTTCCCACAGCACCAGCGGCTGGCTCCTGTTTCCACACATGACATTATGGAGCTTAATCCAAGTGACTGGCCAGAACCGTAAACTAAACACTCGTAACCACACACACACTCTCACAAGGCAGACACTGGGCCGTGTTTTGACTCTTGCTCAACAATAATTAGGCCCCAAATGGCACTTGACAGTACAATATCTCTCATTTGGACTGAAGGCCATCATTATTACAGTGCTCATGTTACTCATGCCCATAAAGCAGAGCCAGTAACGTCATACTTAAATAATAGTGAATTATGTCTCCGCTGCAACTACTTAATTCGTCTGTCTGTACTACTGTTAGCCATTGTTGAGTTCTACTTCTTGACACAGTACAGTTGTTTCCCTGCATTTGCTTAACCTTTCCTACTTTATTTTATCTAAAATTTCAAAAATAACATACATTTTGTAATCATCCCCTATTCTTAAATAAATTGCCAAGGATCAAGAATAAATTTTCACTTCCCAGTATTGCTGTCACATTTAACCTGATCAGTAATTTGAATTCTCACGATACTTGTGAGTTCACAACACGAGAATCCATTGATCAGGCTTGGGCCACCAGTGGTTTAGATCAATCACATGGTTGCAATGTAGTTTGAGGCAGCAGTGCTGAAGGATGTACTTGTAGAATATTTAATCAGAAATACTCATTTTGTTTTCAAAATCGTGCAGATGGGAGCACTTTGTCCATTTGTGGATGGGAAAGATGTATGAGCCCTTCTCTCAACTGATGTAAAAAAGTTTGTTTTCTCTGCTTGTTCTGCAGTTGTGATACTTCAATCAGTCAACTTCAAATATTCGTCATAACATTCTGCCTTTTTCTGCTCTCTTTTAGCAAGAGACATTTCGGACTGATAAATCTGTAGAAATCAGTTCACAGTGCTACACATTGACTCTGACTGACACTTTTGTACATTAATATAAAACTAATTCAAATCTATAAAGCAGTGATTGTCCTTCTAATCTGAGTTTAAACCTACAGTGCTTTAATAGACTTGCTTCTACAAGTTTTTAATTGAGAAAGTCTAATTTGCAGTAACCACAACCACCCTGAGTAACCACAACAAACTGCCATTCCCACTGTAAAGACAAGAGCTAAGAACTACTAGGCAAGTTTGTTTGCAGCCCCTTTCACTTTCTAAGTCAGCCACACAGATAAATGTTTGGGAAATGCATTATCCAGGAAGAGATAAAAATCCAACCGGTCCCTTGCTGTCCACCAGTGTGTTCTGCCAAACCTCCTGTGATGAGTCAAGAGCTCAGTGAAGGCCTCATCTGCTGTATCCTGGCTGCCTCTGCGCTGCCCCCACCTCCGGCCCGCACTTCCCTTCGCTCTCCCAGGCTGCTGATCGTGTGTGTCCTGGCCTCTGCAGTGAAAGCAGCCCCCGTGGGTGACAATGGCCTGTATTTCTTGGGTTAACACAAATGACAGCTCCGCACAGTGGTCCCTTTTAGCACTACGAATTGGAGGAACAGCACTGCTCACCAGACACTGATGTCATCTACACAGGGAAAGGCTTGAAAGGCTGTGGTGGCTTTGTTATGGCTACATGCACAACACAACAACACTGTGGACTAATTAGACATGTGCACAAAAGGCCCATGTGTTTGGTTCTTTGTCTGTTGATGGAGATGAAAAATAGTGTAAAAAACGTGACACACATATTTTCATTTTTCAGGGAGATTCTGTACCAACTGGAGATGACAGTCCATTCGCTGATACAGTCACTCTGGAGCAGAAGACCAGCACCATTGGAGGCACCAGCGGGAAGGTCAGCCTGTGGATGCAGTGGATGTTACCAAAAGTCACTGTCAAACTTTATGCTCCTGATCCAGCTGCCAAGAAAACAGGTACTTGGTCCTGTCATATTTGTATTGGTCAACTCAGGTGATAACAGTACATATTGTCATCCCTATTCCTTACATACTGTCTTTACTAAAGCTACAAAAACATGAGGAATTATGAAAACTATATGAACAAGCTTTTAGTTTTGCATTGATGCTTTTCTACAGTAATCCCCGAATGTTACTCTCTCTATGGTAACACATAGCCAAGTGTAAAATAAAGGGCACTATAGTGTAACATGTACAATAGATCCAAATATGGACAAAACCAAGAATAAAGATGAGCTAAACACTTGCATTAGGCTGATAATTACCTTTCAGTTCCCTCTTTATGAAGTGGTTCAAATCTTTAAAAATGTTTCTCTGTGTATTTAGAAATAGCGCTTGATATATTGCGGAGGTTTCTGGTTCACTCATTAAAACGATAAAAATGTCCACAAAGCGTGTTATTATCTCACATGAAACTGTTTAGTCCATCTGCATAGTTCATTGAGTGTGCAGCTTAAACTCATTAGGACCTCTTTGGAAGATATTTCAGAATTAGGAAGACCATTCACTGATTTTTGATGCACCATCTGTCCTGTACAGGAAGCATTTCATATTTCTTAGGATTGCTGTAGCGCCTAATTATGTGATCACCTCCTCCCTACCGATTCAGACCTGCCCTTCTGTGGAAAGGATCTGCAGCTGGGAAAAGTGGGGATTGGTGAGAGAAGACAAATAAATAAATGGGTGATGAATCCTGAGCGAACGGCCTCTTGTCCCCTTTAGATTTACTAGGGTGATGAAAGGCTAGATTTACCTTTAATTGGTGTCTGTAATGTTTAGCATCTGCCAGCCAGATCACCCAGCTTAAGGTCTTTAACCATGGAAACATATCTGAAGACCTCACAGAGATGGTTTGACTTAGAAACATCCTAAATAGGCATTACTTTGGATTTGGGGTAATATGTGCCATCTGAGTTGAAAGATGAAGATACCACCATCATTTTATGTGAGCAGCGTGCAACAAAATCAAAGCAGAGTTTTGTATGTAACATGTCAGAAGACTGTGGTGTGTGTGCATAGTATATTAACAGGCCAATATCATTCCGATTTCATTCCTGAAGATAAGCAAGCCACATATATGGTTACATCTAATCTACCATGATGTAATGTGTTTTTCAGCTGCAAAGGGAATGTGTGTCTCTGTAAAGGGGAGGGAAACAGCTCATGTAGATGTACTGGTCCACAGATATGGTGCAAAGCCAGTATGTGTTGGAAGACTAGACCTTGAAACAAGAGGCTCAGCTCAATTTCAATGTTAAAATCAACTAAGGCAGAAAACTTTGACTTTTGGAAATCATAATGAAAGTTTAATAAGAAGATCCCAAGGATTTTCCAAGGATTTCCAATGGTGAATTTAGAAAACAAACACGTCCAAATCAGTGGTGTGTCATATGAATTGCTCTGTACCTAACAACTTTCCTTTCCTCACCGTATCCACAATAAAGCAGACAGTCCTTGTTTTTCAGTTTTAATATGTGTGTCTTGGAATCACTTAAAGGCAACAGTACGGCAACAGTACAACAACAACCACAACCTCAAGCCTGCTGTCCATTTTTCCCAAGCTCCCCGTTGATTGTGGGTCCTGTTCAGTGGAAACAATGAGGAAAAGTACCAGGCTTCGTTCAATACATAGTTAATCAGTGCTTGTATGGAGTTTAAACACTTTCCCTGCAGTGGGTGGGTTTGTTTTTATAAGAGGTGCACTGAGGCATTCAGATACAGGCCTAAGTACTGATGAGAAAATGTCCAAGGCTATTGGACCGGACTGAACAGTGCATATTTAGTAGGTATGAGGACATCCATCCTCAAAATGAACAGATGAAAGCTATGTGGCTGTTTTCCTAGCTTAGATTTTTATAAGCAATGTTAGATCGTGCTTGTGGTTTTATGTGATATGCACATTAATTAGATGCTTACATTGGGGTCTACTGTCAGGTTACCACTACCTTCATTATGGAAAAGATGAAATGTGAACCTGTTTGCTTTTGGTGAAAAATCCATCAATGCAAATTCTCTTTTACGCCATTAAAGCTCACAGTGAACTAACTAAGGAAAGTATGGGCTTTATGTTTTAGTTTTTAGTATTAGTATTTAGTATTTTAGTCCATTTAATATGGAGAAACTGCCAATGCACCTACATTGCCCATTGCTGGTTTTGATAACCAGTCCCTTGGGTCATGAATTTTTTTGTGCACTGTTATCCATTAATAATTTACATTAATAAACTGGCCCTAAAACATTATTTTTATTGTATGTTTTTACAGAAATCTGTGTCATCAGTGAACTTGAAGACTTGAGTGCCTCTGTGGATGTTCAAGATGTCTACACAAAGGTCAAATGTAAAGTTGGCAGCTTCAACATCGACCACTACAGGTCAAGGTACAGAGAAAAGTCTATAGTTTTTGTTGGTCACTGTTCCTTGCATGCCACATTTTCAAATTAGCACTTCAAATGCATTACAGCGGAGACAAGATGTTTAAAAGGGCGGGTGGATTGACACTTGACAGAGTAATTCAGCACTGACTCAGATTTTACAAGCCCTTTTGGACAATTTCTTCGCCCGGGTTGTCATAATTAATCTAAAAAAACATTAACATATTGTTAGCAACTTATCCACCATGTGATGTTCCACTGTACAGTAATTTATCCCAACCCATGGTCCAGCATGTGATCGTAAGTTCCCACTTCTTTCACTGTAAAAACCCATTGCTTCAGACAACTGGTGACTTTAGTTCAGCTTTTGTTCCTTGACTTTTTAACACAGACTGGCCTCACTGGTTAGCTATTTCATTTTACTATGTCTTCACAGTTCCAAACACTGGTCATTATACATAGCTATTAAGTGTCCATTGCATACATGTGAGGGACCAAGGATCAGGGGGTATTAAAACACTCTAGCCAACATTCCTGAAAATTGCTAGTGTAGACCCTGGGCCCTCCATCTTTATTGTGTTTCTTTATTGTTAATCAGCACTTCCAACTGTGATGGGATAATTGAAATAGATTTTGATTTGCCAGATTTTGAAATGACCTTGGTGGGGTCATGTTAGCGTATCACAAAGGACTGGGGTCAGGGTTGGCTCTGAACTCAGCACTTATAGTGTTTCTCAGACCTCCCTGTTGCAGTGCACTTAGTTGATTTATATGGTGTCAAGCCACATGTGGCACATCCACTGAGCAGTATCTGCGATCAGCCAGCACAGTGACAGGCTGAGGGCCTGTGAGACCCTGGAGGTGTCGAAGGGCGTTACATCTGCGTAGGTTTCTCTCCACAGGTGTGTGTTCAATTGCTTCTGAGACAAAGCCAACCTTAATCTCTTTAGTAGACCTCTCTGCCTTCTTAAGTAGATAATGGATCAATTTTCCCATTTCTAGGTTATTTCAGTTTAATGTGCATTTAACAACATGGTCTCAGCACACTTCGAACCATCCAGCATTCTGGCAGGCAGAAGCACTCCATCATCCAAGCCCAGGTTGTAGTCACGGCTGTTTAGGGCGCAGTGGAGGACCTCTGGGCTCCAGGCCCACTCTAATCTGTATCATCCACATATACAAGAGAGCCCACAGGGGTTGGAGTCCATATTAATCATCCTGAACAGATAATTGTGAAGTATGTCGTCACCAGGCCAGGTTATTTGTGTGCTGTGGTTCAGATCAAATCAAGCTTGACACACAGAATGTCACATCTGGTGCAAGCTTTTTCACGGCTAGAAAGTTAATGGAAACTTAGAAGGTGCTGGAGAATATGGAGGTAAATATATAATTGAACCTGTGATTGGGGTATTACAGAAAGAAAAAAAGTCTGAGAAATCTGAAAAATCTGAAATAGGCAAGTGCAGTAAAGACAGTAGGTGACTGATGATTGATTGTCTACTCCTCAGTCTTCTGTTTGGTAAGATGATTTGGAAGGTACGATGAAGTTTGATACAGGAAAAAAATGCTCTGCAAAGGACGACCAGTGACAGATCCCCCAAGTTTGGTCCAAGGAGCAGCTCACACAAATTGGAGCTGATGTTTTCCAGCTGCATGGCAAATGGTAGAAAGAGAGAGGATGAGTAGATGGAAGAAGAGCAATGGAACACAGTGATGAAAAGATGTGGGGGGTCCATATGCATTAGTCACCTTATGAGAGAAGAGATAGACCCTCGGTTCTAGGTACTTTTCACAGCTATAATGATATATTTTAACCAGTACTATTCCTGACTGTACCATTCCTTATTAATGCAACTATTTTCATTGCCTACACTTGCACCACAAACACAAGCACCATATTTTTTCCATTCTAGTTTATTGGAAACAAAGGAACATAAAATACAAGCATGTCAACTACAGTCCCCCTTTCTCCTTTTCCAAAAATAAACAGTCACTGTACGTATATTACAAGAATTATCAAACTTGAACAAAAAAAAACTTGGTAATAATAAGAGTAATAATAATAATTAAAAATGCAATGGTTTCATCAGGTCACACTCAATTAAAATCTTGATCTGTTTTCCAATAATTGTCAAATTTGTCAAAGTCAGGTCTCATATAAAATGTCTGTTTTTCCATTACGAAAATAGTATGGAAAAAATTCATCCAATCCTCAAGGAATTTTGTCATTAAGCCATCTTCTTGTAATACACTTCTTTCCAGCGGCCAGTAGAATAATAAAATAAATATATATTTTTATTCTATGAGATGAGCAGGCCTTATCCCAAGGTACAGTGTCTCAAAATTGTGCGATAAAGTAATAGAGAGAAGTTTTTCAATACTGATCCTAACCTGGGACCAAAACTGTCAAAGTTCTGGGCATACCCACAATATGTGATAATGGCCGGCACTCCTTGTCCCACACTCCAACATGAAGCCCATAGCAGCACCCTGTGAAGGCACCCTAAAAAAGCATATCACATTTTTCCAGAAAAAATTCTCTCAAATTGATGGATGCTATGCACCATATTTTGACCAAAAAAATTCCAATATACAGTGTGTGTGTTGCCCTGTTTACTTTTTTTTTTTTTTTTTTTTTTATTGTGCAGGTGTTGCTGTGCAGGTGTTGCTGTGAAGGTGGTCTAAACTAAATACCAAATTATTCACATGTTTTACCATTCAAAATGTAACCTTTTTTTTCCCCAGGGCCTACGGGGTGCATTTTGTTGAGTCTGTGGTTGAGTTTTCTGTGCCTTTTCTAACTACTGTTGCCATTAAAGCGATGCTATCACTGCGTGAAACATTGTATGAGTGCTTCCAGATGTTCTCGGTTTGAGCTTGGCCTTATGTGTCTCCCCAGGCCAGGGCAAGGCTGGCACTGTGGCCACTATGAAGGAGTCGTTCTGCAGTGCAAGGAGACAGCTGTGGTGAGGTCTCAGCAGCCATAGGCCTTAGCCTGCCACTCTGCTCCTAACCAATCCCAGTTTATAAACTCAGCCTGGACAGACAGGGATACCATGTACACTACAGTTCTGGGCAGTGGTGGACTCCCTCCCCTGTCTCTCCACTGACTCCTTGGTTTAATCATCAAGCCAATGAGGTTTCGGGCTAATCTTTTCTCTGTGTAGGAGGATTTTTCTCTTGATGATCCACTGATCAGGCATAGCATAATCACCACTGAGGAGTTAAATGAATAACCTTGTCTATTCACCATGGTACCTGTAAGTAGCACATATTAGAAGATAAGTCCTCAAGTTATTGTCTTTGGAACACAACACAATTGGCATGTGTAAAAATGACATTTTTAGTGAGTCCCTGGTCTGCAGGTGTTAGAATCAGAAGTGGTCCATGGTGATGCAACAACAGTCATGGACAGTCATATGGTTCCAAGGCTGGCCAACTGGTGGTCCAAATGCTTTACCTGATTGATGTATCTGGTAATGGTCTTATACACAAAACAAAATTGTCTGCTAAATATTTTGTGGTAAATTATGAATTGAGTACTCAAGAACAGTGTATGTATAAGACTATTTCTGACTTTTTCAAGTTGTACAATTTTCCAAATCAAGTTGCTCTTCTCTGATTTCACTAGTATCATTGATGACTTTCATGGATTTTCTTCTCTCCCTCTCTCTTTGCTTCTCTGCTCCACTTCTATGGCTGAATCCATCCATTTGGGACCACTTCTGTTTGCCCTGTCCATCTTCTCCTATCTGCACCTCACCTCCAGCCCAGAGGAGGGCACTAGGAGCTCGGGCAGCTACGGGGGAGTGGTCCTGTCTTGCACTGACAAGCTGAACAGACGCACTGTGCTGGTTCGACCCGTCAGCAAGCAAGACTCATTCAGCCATTTCTCTGGCTTTTTTCCTCCTGTAAGAATTAGTTTGTTTAATTCTATTCAATAATTTCTTCTTCCCCCTATCAACAGTGGGTCAAATGTTGATTTTTGCTCATATTAAACTAAGCTAATTTTTTTTTTTAAACTCAACTATTTTATAATTTGCAATGCAACTTTTGCCACTGTTAATAGGTGTTATTCTAGACAATCCATACTGTCTTAAACTAGAGCGAATCTACTTTTTTTTTCCTTAAATGATTACTCCTATTAAAATTAGCAAGGCAGTGCTAAATCAGTTGGGCAGGACTAGCTATAATGGCTAATAGTAGTCTCAACTAATTAAAATAAGCTTTGGCTGATCAGCTTGCTAATCAAAAGCAAAGCAAAACATTAAAATACAATTGACATTGACTTTATGGTGTATTATGCCCCTATTTCATCTCTTTCCATTATCTTGGACTAACCAGACTGCAGCCAAAGTCCTGGAGGGCTCCCACCAGCAGCATGGTTTCTTATCCATCACCTACACTCAGGCTGTCACCAAAAATGTTCGTCACAAACTCACAACTCGACCCGAGCGACCACCCCGGAGCAGTGGCACTACTGTGGGTCACAGAGTGTCCCCTGACCCTCTGGCTGACAGCGCACCCCAGTATCTGAGAGAAATCCTTCTCACTGCACAGCCTTTTGACACAGTCCTCTCCTGTCCATTGCTGGCCACTGTGGCGGGGGTTTTTCAGGTAGTCATTTAAACTCTCTCCAATCAAGATGTTTTACAGCCATTGTAGTTCTCACATCTTGTCAGCATGAGTTTTTAGGCATTTGCCTCAAACAGCCCAGCATGTCATAATGAACAAACATTCACCTTATTTCTCCAGACAGTAATCCCGAGACGTTACAGGGAGCGTGGGAAGTCGGCCGGTCAGCCAATGAGAAGCCACACGCTGACCTCACGCAGCCTGCCGCTCATCTACATCAACACCAGTGTGATCAGGGTGTTCTGCCCTGGTTCACAGGACCAGCACTCCCCCGCAGGTTTGTTCAGACCTTGTTTAGTGGTTTGGGGTTATGTCACAGGCTAAGCTGGGTGTTTCGAAAGTCTTTTGGTGCTGACATGAAAACCCTTGTCACAGACCAGACATAGCATAGCCACCACATTAGTATGCAGGCATTTGTGAAGATAAATAGATGAGGTTGGATGAGCTAAACATAAAATTAGTGTTGAAAAGCTGAGGAGAGGTTGTTTTGTCTGCATGTAGTTATGACTAACAGTAGAAAGAGCAACCTATTTTGGGGTTTGTTAGAAGTTTTTGTACTTGCTGGTTTTGGTGCTGTCTGGCTGTAAACTTGATTTTGCATGCATGTATGTAATTAAATTTTGTGTGTGTTATGAATGTTCCAGCCGATCCACTCCTGAAGAAAGAAGACACTCTTGTACTAAAGCTGGGTTCTTTAAGCATGGCTCCTCAAGCTGACAATCCTTTGACCCGCACAGTGCTACGGAAAGATATCTACCAGTAAGATACTTTTTAAGACACATAAAATGTTTTTCTTTGCTGAAAGTGTTTCAAACAAAGGCGGTGTATGACATGCCATGAAATGCTGGCGTCTTTTTGGGTGCGAGCAAGTGACAGTGCCACATAGTGCTTGATTGTGGTTCCTATTGACACAGTGCACTGATTGACACCTTGGGGGTCCGCTCAGCCCTCCAGCTGAAACACAAGACTGTTGACATAAGCCCCCAGTGCCATGCGGATCAAAGCTGCTATGGCAGGGAAATTCTGCACTTCTGAAGGAAATAGTTCCACGCAAAACACATTTCTCCTCTATAGGCAACTATGAGAATCTGGATTGTGTCATAGCTGCCTCAAAACCGCAGCCCCACGGCATGTGTGTGTGTGAATGGTAGATATAGAGCTGGCAAACACATGTAATGAGGGAGATAAAAGTAGTGCCTAATGCTTTGTGCAGCTGCTAGTGAGATGTGAGCTGACACAAGACGTAAAACTGAGAAAAAAGGTGGACAACAGAGCACACTTCAGACTTCACTACAGCCTTCTGTTAGTGAAAGTGTCACGAGTGAGCGGACTGCACCATGCACAGAGACTGAGGGGTCTAGGGCCTTTGGGCATGTCTGGCAATCTGTAACCATTAAGGCATTGAGATGGAGGAGAAAAATACAGTTGCTTCAACATTGTCCAAATTTCTTCCAGAGTATGCAAGCTATCTCCCTTAAAGGCTTTCATTTACTCTTTGATCTATTAGAGCGCGTATGGGATTGATCAGTAACCATAGCTACTGTTTTGCAGGGACTTTTTGGACTTTTTTTAGTCTGCCTGCTTGCATGCATGATTGCCGTTTGCCCTGCTTCAAGTATTACCCTTTCCGCGATTGAATGTTTGTTTCTATGGACACAGGAAATTGTTTACTTGTCCGCCATGTTCTTATCATGTCAAATGGTAAGTAATGTCCTGTGGCTATGGTCGATTTTTCATTTTTCCCAGTGAGTTTTCTTTAAAAGCAAGTCAGACCAGTCATGCAATTTCACCCCATATTGGCCTGTAAATGTCAGATGCTGGTAGTTAAAGGACTAGTGGGTCTGTGGCTACTGTACCCGCATTTTCTTTGCAGACATCGATGCCTTAACATGATGCTCCACCCTGAACTAAACATGCAGCCCTGTGGCCATGCAATCGACCTATACAAAAAGCCACATGAGGATCTCTGTATTTAGCTGGGCTACTGTGTTATATACAGCATGTACAAGACAACAAAAGTTCACATGTTTCTTAAATTGTGTGCAATCTCTAACATTTAGTCACCTCTTGAACCTCTGCACACAGAAGCCAAGAGCCACCACTTCCCTTTTGACGTAAACCCCAGAATTATGCTCAACCACTTTCTCTATATTCATTCTTTTAGTCCCAACTAAGCATTATACACTTACCACCTTCGTTTTGCTCAAGTGCCCTTCAATTTGGGGAATTCTCACTGACTCATATGATTGGTTAAGCTGTAAACATGGACTTGTTGACATTTCGTGATAAGCGCTTGTGATTCTTTCTATTCATGCTCTATCTAACAGCATGCTCTCCCAAGTAGTATAGAGAAAGTCATTGTGCGAGTCTGTAATCATGTAAACCAATGTGTGTTTACAATCTATAACCAACTGCGGCTTCCTTTGCCATTTGCTGCACTCCTGTTTTAAGTCCACCACTAATTACATCCGCTGTCATAATTGAATGACAGATCCAGGAGGCCCTGCAGGGTTTTATTGTCCACTGTACATGTGATCATCACAATACCCCAAGCTGCGATTTACAGTAATGCCACCCTGTGCGAAGAGAGGAGCCAAGGCCAAAATAGCAAAGAAAGTGTAAACATCCCGGCTTAGGATATCTTGATAACTTTACACCAAAAATGATTCTGACACTCTTTGGAACTCAGTATATTTATCGTAGAGAGCAGATATGCTGCATCAAAGGAGGTAAAATAAACCCTTTAAACTGTAGGGCCATAGTGTTAAGTTGATATCCACCACTGAGCTCATTTGGTAACAATTAACACCATTTCATTTGATCTTGTGATGGTAAAACATTTTTCCCCTAAAGGACTTGGTCCCAAGTGACTCTTTTACGAAGCAAGAATTATGACACTGAGCTGCACACTTCCCCTCACTCTCCCACTCCATCTTTACCTACAAGGCCGCTGTCAATTTACACAGCTGAAATCATTTTCCTGTCTTGAAAAGAAGGCTTTTTCCAGCTACACAAGCGTCTGCGCCGGGAATGTCCAGCACACATCCAGACCTCACTTTCTTGTGGTTTGAGCCCATCGAAAAGACTCAGATCTTTTACTCTCCACTCCCAGTTTTTCTCATTTTTTCATTCATGGAACACTTAATTGAAAGCTTCTTGTAGAGTGAGAAGCTTAGGGTCAATAGGGACCACCCTCCTAAATACCCTGTAAGAAATTCAAGTCGCCTTTTTAAGGGCACAGAGTCAAGTGGTAGTTAAGAACACTTTCTGAGTACATTCTTTATTTGCAACAGTGCATGTCACATCAGATAGTAACTTCTCATTAAGACTAAATTAACACTCTTTGTTAGCTGTAACCATATATTCAGCTTTTAATACTGTTGCACTGTTACATTTTTCCTCAACATTCTCTGGTTTTGTTGAATTCCATTAACATAAGATGACATTTTCCTGTTTTTCTATAATAATGTTTATCAAAAGACAAATATTATATCTGCTCCTATCTCAATTTCTTAATTAAAATATTTCTACAATCATCACACCGTAATAGGGCTGCAACTACTCATACAATATAACTGTAGTTGTATTTTGATATTCATAATCTTTATCTGGATTATATGGACTCTAAAATGCATACGGAAAGATCTTTGTATAACAAAGACGGTAAATAACAGAATGAAACACTTTAGTTTTTAGTTTGCATCTGTAATGTGCCTTAGAAGTTATTAATTCAACCTTCTCCGGCTCAGATGTTATCATATAGTCAAAAAACAAACGAAAATGTCCCAGTTGTGCAAAGAACATTTGCACACCATAAATATTGCCTCCTAAAAAATATTGTTCCGGCTTTCATATATAGAATGATAACTTCATACAGTAATTATCGTGACAGGCCTAGCTGTACTTTTTAAAGGTGCATGGCGTAATGTTTTAAGTCAAGGTTACCCCACCTGATGTCTCCATGGAAAGTTACTGCTTTGTCCAGATTAGAATATTCCATAGTATATATTAGACCTACATATCACGAGGGAAACAAGCAAGTTACAGCACTACGCTACATTACAATTCAGATCTGTGGAGAGTTGCCTCATTTTGCAGAAGGAATTATTGTATTTTTGAAACACTCGTTATGAATAAATGCCAGATGGAAATATTTAAAGTCATAGCATGGAACATTCCAGGCAAGGTGATAACATCACTGTGGAGAGAAGCAGGTGGTGGACTCTACACCAGAAAAGTTGCACAGTGCACCTTTAACAATTTTTACAGTCACACATCTTTGTCCGTTGCAGTTTCTCTTCTTGCATCCATATGCACATTGTGTTTGTGTATCTCGAAATATCCCAGACATTTCCCGACAGACAAACCCACACCTAGATGACACAGCTCTAGATTCCATCACACGCTGCTTACCTCATGGTCCGTCTGAGGGGAGCGTCCTGCTGCTCTGTGGTTTATGCTTGTTTTTCCTCTTTTGATTAGCGAACGTGCTGGTAGTTACCATAGTGAGAGCAGAGAGTGCCACTACGTCAATGGTATCAAAATGAGTTGACGTAATGCATCAACACACTCATTTATTAAGAACAAAAAAAGCTCTCTTTTTTCCACAACTGCCTTACATCAGAATTGTTTAGGGATTGCTTCACCTTAACCTAGTGGTTCTCAAACTGTGGCGGAAGCAAGCTCCTTAATGTAGTTTGTGGGTTACGCTGCAGTTGTAATATTAGCTTAACTAAGTGTTGTTTTAATGTGCACTTCTGTCCTTCTTTGGGTTATTCCCGTGTAGTGTACTTCCATTTCAAATCTTTTTTAGCTTATATTTAGATTTAGACTAGGTACTCAGAAGGTCAGCTATTTTCTTTGATGGTACTTAGTGTGACATGTTTAGGGATCACTGCTATAGATAAAGCAACATGAACAGAATGAACTGCTGAATTGTGTACCTTGATTTTATCATATTTGTACTATACTTTGTGCTCTCCTTTAGCCATCCAGTACAGTAACTGTGTGGTTCAGGCACCGACGACTGAAATCATAACTTTTTTTTTACTACTATACTGTACAGTGTGGCCTTTGTGAAAGTAAATCAAATATTTCCCTCTGTTCCATTATACCTGCTATATCTGACCTCTGTAGGTGCTTTTGCAAATTCAAGATGTTATCAACTTGACAGTAACCTCTCACCTTATTATGTTTTATTCTGATTTGCAGTCCTTGGACTCAATCTTTGTTTAATCGTATTTGAATACATCTTCAAAATCCCCTTCTGTATTTCCCCTCCTTCTCCAGTCCATGGCCTTGTGCTTACCTCATTGTCCTTTTCACCCCAAACATTTCTCTTTACATTTCTATCTCTTCATTTTTCCTCCAGTTATTTGTTATTTCCTCTCTGTCTTGCTTTCTCCGCTGTGTTTCTCCAGTGTTGGTTAAACTGGTTCCAGTCCCGAACGTCTGTGGTCAGAAAGCCAACCCCCGTATTGCTGTTGAATGGCTGCCTGCTTAAAGCCCACATATATGTCCTAATAAGTGGTTGTGATGGGGATCTCCCTTCCACAGATAAACACAGCACACTCCAGCCAGGACCTGGGTCTGTTACTAATAAAAATCACTGGCAGTGGGCTACGTGCATCCTCCTTTAGCTTCAGTAGCATCCGCGCTGCAGCCGGCTATGTGTGGATGGAGGAATAGAGATTTACATGTGTCCATAGGGATAGCAGGAAGACATGTAGTGCGTGTTGTGTAATATGTATTTTCTTTGC